CTCCCCAAGTCCTCCCAGATCCATCTGCCCAACCCCCCTGCATCACCATCTCCCCAACTTCCCTTGGATCTCCATCTCCCCTGACCCCGTTGGATCTCCATCTCCCCAGTTCTGGATCTCTATCTCCCCCAGCCCCTCCCAGCTCCCCACAAAGCCCTCCCCACGCTGTGCCATGCCCGTTCCCTGGCTGTGCCACCCCGGGCCATGCCCTGACCCTGCTGTCCCTCAGCTTCAGTGCCTGGAGCAGGAGAAGGCACGCTGGCGGGCTGAGAAGGCCCAGCTGGAGCAGAGCGTGGAGGAGAACAAGGAGAGGATGGAGAAGCTGGAAGGGTACTGGATGGAGGCACAGAACCTCTGCCAGGCTGTGGACGAACACCTCAAGGAGACGCAGGCCCAGTACCAGACCCTGGAGCGCAAGTACAGCAAGGCCAAGAGGCTCATCAAGGAGTACCAGCAAAAGTGAGGGCAGCCCTGGGCACCCATCCTCCCTGGGCACCCATCCTCCCTGGGCACGGACCCATCCCTGGGGCTCCAGCCCCTTCCTGAGCACCCCTTGTCCCTGGGCACAGACCGTGCCCTTGGCATGAGCCATCCCCTTGGCATGGACACGCTTGTAGGGTACCGACCCTTTCATGGTCAGCCTTTGTCCCTGGGCATGGACCATCCCCTGGGCAGAAACCCATCCCTGAGGCACCAGAGCTTTCCCGGGCACCATTCATCCCCTGGGCAGGGCCTTTCCCTTGGGCAGTGACAATCCCCTTGGCGTGGAACAATCCCTGGGGCACCAACACCTTCCAGGATATCCCTCATCCCTGGGCACTGACCATCCTCTGGGGAGGGACCATCCCCTCGGCATGGAACCACCCCTGGGGAGCCAACTCCCTCCTGGACACCCCTCATCCCTGGGCATGGACCATCCTCAGAGCAGGGACCTTCCCCTTGGCCTGGAACCCCCCCTGGGGCATCAACTGCCTCCAGGACACCCCTCATCCTTGGGCATGGACCATCCTCAGAGCAGGGACCCTCCCCTTGGCCTGGAACCACCCCTGGGGCACCAACCCCTTCCAGGACATCCCCCATCCCTGGGCAGGGACCTTCCCCTTGGCCTGGAAC